TTTCTTTTCTTTTCTCTTCTCTTCTTCTCTTCTCTTCTCTTCTCTTTTCTTTCTTTCTTTCTTTCTTTTTTTTTGAGGTGAAAATGCTAAGGGTGCTTGGACTGTGGAAGTATCATGCTGTTACTGATGATTATTTTGGCATCAGCAAAATAAATGTGTTCCAATTTTTAAAACATGAGGATGTTAAAATTCAGTCCACTCTGTTTTCCTTCTTCTTCTATGAATGAAGATCCTGTTTATTTTCCAGTGTATTTTTTAGAAAGGACAGTAAGTTTAATATTAGCCTGTGAGGAAACTATGAGTTAAACCATGAGACTCTGAAATCAAAGTCAAAGTTAAACTAATCTCATGATTTTAATGTATGTAAAACTGTATTGAAAGAAAGAAAAAAGAACTAATTATTTCAGTCTTCCTAGAGGGAGCATAACCAACAGAGGATTTATCTGATCACCCTTACCAGAGAGTTTTACAGCCTGGAATGAGCAACCAAGAAGTCCTTTTCTGCAACCCAGGAGATACCTTTCTGATGGTAGCAAAGTTGGCTTCACTGAAATTTTAAAACTGGCAGATTTATAAGTGGGAATGTTGCTTGAATAAACCTGTTCCCAAATCATAGACAGTTTTGTAGGACCTAACCAGCACTTTGACTAGAAATAGGTTGGTGCATTGTTTTAAGCAAGTTTTAAGTTGTCTTAACAGTCTGGCTGTAGCTTTCTGGACTAGATAAAAGTTCAGAATACTTTTCACAGACAATCTTTTGGTCATTTTTATTAATCAAGAAGGACAATTATTAAGAAATAAGTTGTAGGTTTCATCCTTCCAAGAATCGTGTCCGTATCCTTCAGGCCAGACAAGTTGAAAATTATTCTTTACAACTGGACAGGAGGAGATTTCAACTAGACTTATATCCAGTTGGCATCATTTCAAGATTTTATTTGAACAGTTCAGTTGGTATGATACAGTATTTTATTTTCATGGGCCAGAACTGAATGATTCTTTTGTAAGGTAATGGTGGCAAAGCTGCCTGAATGGATATCCTTACCTGAATTTGTTTTTCTGTTCAGGAAGACTTCAGCAGTGAGAAGGTGTTTTTTCTTTTTCTCTTCTTTTCTTTTATGTTTTTTTTTTCAAAAGATCTTACCGGAATGTATGACTTTCACCTGCCAGTCGACCAAGGCACCTTCCCAATTTCTCTGTCTTTATTTTTTTTTTCCCTTTCAGAAATAGAATTTTAAGTTCAAAGCAAATCCAGAGCTGTTTGTTGGACATTGCACCATTTCTGGACCCTGTGGCTTTCCTGATTCATTTCATTCACAGTTCATTCTGGAATGTGAATCAATGTTATTTCCTGTCCAGCTGAAGGGCAGTTGAGGTTACCGACTGGCTTGATTAATCGTCTGCACTTCAGATTTGCTGAGATTGAAAACCAAACAACTAGGAAGAGGAAAAGGGGGGGGGTTGGAAGCTTTTAGAATTGTACTGTTTTGTACATAAATTCAAACACAGCTGCCTTAATATTCCCATCCTGTAGCAGTTAGTAGATGATTTGGGAAATCGCTGTAAGGACTTGTCAAGCCAAAATGAGGTAAATTTAAGCTGGTGTTGCTGGACAGCTTAAAATTCTCTACCCCTCTCCCACCAAAAAAAATGCACAGCAGAAGTTGGCAAAGCTCTTGTTTCTAAAACCAACAGCTGTTCACATCCTTATGCCTAATTATCACAGAGCTGGTAAATAAAAACTTTCCTGTGGCTGCAATTGCAAATGGAGCTGACATGGGGCAGGACCAGGGAAGAGAAGAGAAGCAAAAGAAAACTCTTCCCATTTGGATTTTTCTTCTTCTTCTGAGTCTAGCTGCAGGCTGGGATTAATCAAACACGGCTAACTCAAAACTTGAGAGGGAGGGAAAAAGGAGAAAGAGAACATTTGCATGCAATTGAGAAGGAACGGCTTTGGAACAGTCATGACTTGGAGACTATTTGAAAGATAAATTTCAAGCAGAATTTGTTGATTCAACTTTAGGAGCAACAAGACTGCTATAAGTTTAGAGAAACCTTTAGAGACAGCTGGCTCAAGGATGTTTGGTGCTTCCACTCCTCCTGGAATTTAAAGGTGTTCTCATCTTCTGAAGAAGCAGCCGTCTTTTGAGAATGCCTGTGCTGAATAGGTTTTTCAATGTATCAGACAAGGGTAGGCAGTGGAGCACTGAAGAAGATCGGATGCCCTTGTCCACAGAGAGCCTGCCCGTCTGTCAACAGGGAATTCTAGCTTGGGAGTTGCCTGAGAAGTTCAGAATCATAAAGGTGATCTGGAAATCCAAAAATGAGCTCACAGAGACAAAGAGGAGAGGAGTTCTGGAAAATGATGGAAGTCCTAATGTTTTATCAGGTAAGTTTAAAATATGCAATCAAAATTGTGTAGGCATGACTCTGGTAGGCTTGGCCTACCCTCCCAAAATCAAAGTATACAATCGGCATATTTGATTGTTTATTGCTTAAACCAGTGATATAGATGAAATCTATATCTTCACTCTCCATTATGTGCTACAAATGTCACAAATGCCCTAAGTCCTAAAGGTGACAGAAGGAGCTTTGGTGACTATTCCCCAGTTTTGGATGCCTGTTCCCTCCAACCCAAATCTTAACATGCTCCAGAAACAACAAAGTGAATGAGCAAACAAAAATTTACTAATCAAGAAGGGGAATATAATGGAGTCAACTTAGCCTTTTAAATCTCTGGTATCAACATAACAAAATTAAATATGTGTTTAACTTTCTTCTGTTGCAATTAGTTCAGAATAATCAACATTGCCTAGATTATATTCAGTTTTTTCATTACTTGTTTGTACATGTTTGATTGTGAATTAAGGAGTATGTCCAAATAAATACTTTGGAATCAAAATCACTTTTGGTAATCAGAGGGAACTTAGGCATTTCCAAATCTGTGACTGTTAGTGCCTTGCTAAATATCTGCAAACATGTTGAATGGTTTTTCTTCCTAGTGTCATTTAAAAGCAAATTACTAGCATTCTGCTTTCCTTATTTTAGGCTACTGTTTAATATAGAGAGAAAGAAAGATTCAGAGATATTTAAAAAGTGAAATGAATCTGTATGATTGAGGGAAATGTATTCATACTGACCATTCCTAAAGTGTTAACTTAGTCTAAATTTTCAGATGGGAAAGTATCAAAAGAGATGTATGTACTTGATTAGTCAGTAAAGTTAATAAGATAATATTACAAAACTGATATTCATTTTCAGATCTCTATTAGTGTTACAGCTATAACATTGGCTTTGAGATACAGTTCATAACATTTACAGTTAAGACTCCTGAGATTTGTTTTAGATAAGGGCCAGCACTATTTACAAAGTTGTGTGCACACCGTTTGTATAGCATGATGGCAAAGAAAAGAAATATATCTATTTGGTCCTCACCTCTTCATATTTTACGATGTTGTTCTATTGTGATTTTTTACAAGATAGTCACATTTTTACAAGGTAGTTACATTTTCAGATGTATTTTCCTAAAATGTACATTTTAAAAAATTTGGACCAATATGGTATATATATCTATATCTATTACTTCCACTAATAAGTATATGCTTTTTCCCTAATATGATCATTTTTTTTCCTTGTGGAGAAACTATACCACAACATTCAGAAAAGTGCACATACTGAAGGATACCTGTTTTTAATTGCATAATGATTCAGAAATTATGAATGGTAGAGGTTCGTCTCCAAATACAAAGTGAACAAATGTTGTTCCTTTCCTAATGTGAATAGATTTAACTGCAATATACATAGAGCACATCTGTAACCCTTGGATAATGAGCATGTCTATGTGGAGTCTGCAGGACATGCAGAAAAGTGACAGCCAATCAAAACCTGTCCTTCCTGACTAATAGATAGAGTAGGTGTACCTCCACCACTCAGTGCTCAACTATTGGTCAACAGAGGGCAGATCCTGCCCCTCAGCGTCACATCAAAAAGCACATCCCTTTTTCCTTCCACCCCAAAACAGTACAAGTGTATGGTCTGCCTCCTGGCATGATTCTGTATTTTAGAGCTTCTATCAATTCCTGCCATCCACCACCCTTTTGAGATGAATTGCTGGGAGCCAAGGTGAGTTGAGCACTCCATTTCTCCAGTGGCCCGACAGACTGCCTCTAAAACAATGGAGCAGAAGAGAGCTATACCTCTCTCTACTTCTATGATAAATGCCCAGTGACATCATCACCCAGGGGATCAGATTGCTTTGTGAATGGAACTGAATATCTATGTTGTGAATGCCCTCAAATATTGCAGAGGCCATAGGAAGAGAGAAGCAGAAAGAAGCCAGAAGAACAGGCATCACAAGTTACTCTGCAGAGCTGTCTTCTCAATTTGTTCCTGCTCTACTGACTTTGACAGTGTCCATATTTTTAAGTCGTAGAAAAGATATATGCCTGTATGCATATTCTTAGAAACACTTTTTGAACATTTTACTCAGTAACAATACTGAGACTTATTTCTTTCTGCATTTCTACACACTAACTGTGACCAAGAATATTAGGGTTTTATGAACGTTTGCAGGAATAAATCCAGAATCTGCTACTTTTGGTTCTGTGCTTTCCTAGTTACTGTTTAATAATATTTTACAGTGTTTACAAAGTGTCTAAGTACAAAGTGTTCAGAAATGGGTTATGATAAGGAAGCAATCAACTTGAAGTTATGGCCTGCGAATATCATGTTGACTGCACCATATTTTTGTAGTCTGAAAGGAAGATTTTTGCTGAGAGTGTAAGGAAGATGACTTGCTTTGAGTATTCAGGAGTCCCTTTGGCACTGGAAAGGATTGGAAAGCAATGTAAAAACATTGCTGTGCTTTTCAACCATATAGGAAGAGTATCTTTGGAAGATACAGGATGAGGCTGGGAGTGTAGCTGTTGCTTTGGCAAGATGGTTTCTGTTCCACATGATATAGTGTTGAATGTGGAGGAAATGACTAGCTAGATAGCTATAGCCAAGCAGCTGGGCTTTCACATTAGTGATCAGCATGGAGTGGAACAGTGGTGGAGGAAATGAAGTGTGTGTGTGTATATGTGCACACACACACACACACACAGAGGCGATAAAGGATAGAAAAATGTCAAGCTCTGGAGAAAAAGTACCACGTGCATTTGCAATCTGGGAACAATTTATATTAAAATGACACTAAATTAGAAGGTTAAAAAAGGAGACCAAGCTGTATATGATTTCTAAAGTAATTTGGGTAGGGAGGGGACAAGGAAAACCAAACAAGATTTTGAAGTTTTCTGGGGCAATTAGTAGTTGAATGTTCTGTGGAATAGACCTCAGTCAGAGAGGCATAAACTAATCCTGTATCAACCACATTTTGTGGGCAAGTGATACTGGAAAATATGGGGAGAACTACCAGGGCAGGAAAAATAATATTGCCATCTCTTCCTGTTAATTCAATAGAACAGCATTCTCTCTGGGGCTTCTAATGGCTCTTTTACGTTTGGAAGAAAAGTATATTCAAATGAACAAGAGGTGCAGTATGAGGAAATATGGTACTTAGTAAATAGTGACATTTTATTTCCTAAGATGCTAGAAGGCTTACTGGAAAAAGTAAAAATATTAATAAATTCCAGAGACACCAAATATCTCTGGTCACAGAGATATTTCAAGATCTTTTTTTTTTTTTGTCCATAACTTAGATGAATCTTTACTATAGGCTAGTCTATTCGTATACAGGAACAGTTCAAGAACTATCAGATGCTTTCGAAAATGTAACTTCACCATAATTTCCTGATTAGAATTGGCAAATATTGGGGCAGGCTAAGAACTGTTTGGAATTGTATATAAATTAATTCCTTTTCAAGTCCTTTCTTAAGTGTAATCTCAAATTTCTTACTTTTCTTACATTAAATATTGGCATTAAATTCTCATTTCCCCAATACACGCAGCACTCATTTTCTGTCACCGCCTTAACCACCTTTTTTTGTTATATGGCGCTGGGACTCTACTCTTTCTCCAGTGCAAGCTGGATCTTTCTTTCTCATGGCCCAGAGAAATGCCACAGGATTTTTTTGCTGGTTTCGCTGCATTCAGCTAATATAGCTATCCCTCTGAAACCTGCAATCATACAAAGGTGAAGAGGACCATTAAAGTCAAAGAAAGATGTTTTCGAGGGAATAATAGAATAAGAGGAAGCTTATGGGAGCATCAACGTTAAAAACACATCTTTTCAGTTGAATTATGCTAAACTCCGTACCTCACCCAGGCCTTTCACTTTCATGAGCTGCTTTGGGCCAAAGAGACAATGTAGTTCTCTTCCCTGTAACAATTCTCTTAGACAAGACACTTCATAGCAACTGGAACTGCCACACAAGAGGATCAGAGCAACGCAGTGGGAAGCAACAGGGCAGCCTTGCTTAAGGGGGTCCTTTGCAAAGACTTTTGTGGAAGCTAAGCACCCCTTCAAAGTTTTGCACAGCCTTAGTAGAAATCCAAACATACTGTAAATGCATGTTATTCTAAACCCAGAACTATGAACCCTTAATCCATAATGCATTTAAATTAGCTGCTAAAGAAAAGCACAATTACATAGAGGAAAATTGCATTAAAATGCATGAGAGTTGCTTCCAAACAATATATTGTAGGCATTAGCCCTAATAATTTGTGGGAGTTGCAGCAGCACCCAATACCTGGAACACATATGAGTACAAGGGAAATGTGCTGATAGTTATCTCTGCTCCACCAACTAGGCTGGGATCAACTGGGAGTACATCAAGAACTGAATGGCTATTTCCCCAGCTGGTTAATGAGATGTTAACTTGATCTTTACCTCTTGTGATCAGAATCTTATTGTATTTCTGGATGTAACAGCATGGCCATGGAAAGATACCTTGATTAGGCATTATTGATTGTATAATTATATGACATACACACAAAACCCACATCTTGATCAAATCAAACATGTAAAATGGCTCAGCTGCGTCTTCTAATCCAGTTGTGTTGCTACTGGTGAGAATATTTCTTCAACTACGTTCCACTTGAAACATTCTGGTATTTCCCCTCTATCTGTAGCCCTCACAATGTTACATTACCCCCAAAGTTTGAATATCTGGAAATATATGGGAAAGGGTAAATTTAAAAAGTTGTCCACTTCCTCCATTTAATTACTAAGATTCTCTACTGTATGAGAACTTTCCATCTGTTGTAGACAGATTCCAGATGTAGCACTTTAAAAGTGCAGTGTTCATAGCTATTGTTCCCCATTTCTTATTGCATATCTTGAATAATTTTCTGTGATGCAAAAGTGAGTGGCTAAATTAAAATGGAAAATCTTATTAATAATCCTTTGGTGAAGAATACCCTAGGACCAACAAATCTCTCAATTCATCA